ATTCATCACAAAGTTGTTTTTATATAGAATTATATAGAATTATGTAAAATTGTTATGTAACTTTACAAAAACTTAATAAACCCAATGTAGATATTTATATAAATCTATATATATTTCTATATAGAATTTTGTAAAATAGCAAAAAAATTTTAACTTAAATATTAAAGCTTGAATTGTATTTTAAAGTTTAAATTAGGGTTTGGGGAAGGTTTTCGAGCATACTGAAATTTTTACCTTGAAAAAGTATCCCCTTTAAGTAGTATTCAATTGTAAATTTAAAAATTTTGAAAAATATCCCGATACTAATCAAAAATAACTTTGACAGTCATTTAACCGGTATAACATGGTATGACAATTTAGCATGTTGTTAGTTTAACATATATAATTTGTAAATTGTTACGTTAAGTGATGTCGGTTAACTTTCCGGTAAAAACATTGTTCATGAACTCATAATTCATGATCTTGTTATACGATCAACTCACATAATCAATGCACTTTTCATAGTATTTCTCTCGTATAGTACACAGGGGTTTACAGATAATTATTACAAATAAGGGCCAAAATAATTATATGCTTAAAAAACCTATGATTTAGCCCCGTTTCGATAATTTGAATATGATCGTAATATAATCATTGATTGTTAATGCATAAGAAGTGTAATAATAATCAATTAGTAATTCGAATATAAATTCCAATGCATAATAAAAAAGGTACATTCGATTCGTCAACTTATTATTCACGCTATAAATTTAGTTCATAATATATATTTCTTAAAACCTGTTCATTACAAAGTTACAGATCGGTATGACTTTTACAAACTTGGAAATTGTTCATTCGGCCTTGGACAGTTATTCTGTTGAATTCTAAGTTAAGAATGAACAAGCCAAGTAACCTGTTATTCTGTTGACTGTTTGTTTTACAAATGAAACTAGTTCATACCCCTTTACTATTTCAGCTAACAAGCATAAAGATGATCCACTTTATGGATACATTCAAAGCACGAGATATACGTAGCAATACTTCGACCTCGTGATATTGAAAAATCGTGTTCGTTCTAAAAGTAAGACAGAGACATCAGACATGGTAGCTTGAAGAAGTAAACATGTTAGGCCAATTTTTCATTTTGCATCACATGGATTTCAAAAATCCGGTCATTCGGTCGGAATTTTTTTTTTTACAGTTAAACTCTATATAATCACACCCTTGGCTTCAAGAACTTTATGCTTATATAAAGGTTAAATTTTATATGCATTATATGAGTTTCTTTTTAAAAAATTTGTGATTATAAGCAAATTAGATTATAGAGAAGTAACTATAGAGAGGTCCGGCTGTAATTCTAAATAATGAACGATAACTTTAAAACACCTATTTAACCATGATGATTAAATGACTAGCAATTTTGACGATACTGTATATTTGGATCCTTATTTGTAATAATTTTCGAATATTGGGCCTCTATCTGTAATTATTATTTTCGTTTTGGACCCTTATTTGTAAATTCCCCTTTAATTTATCTTGGCATTTTTGAAAAAGACCAGGAGTACTGTATGCAACGCTGTGCATCGATCGGTGATTACCTTAGTCAAATAATTAAATTAATTTATATAAAATATAAATAAAATTTAAATAGATTTATAATAAATATAATTATATATAAACATTACATAGTTTACATATAAAAATTCTTATTATGTAAGTCTACATTGGGTTTATAGACCTATATAAAAAATTGATACGTATAATATTATATCACTTTATAGAGTTTATAAAAAAACAATTTTGCTGATGTCTAATCTATATCTGCAATATCTGGATACATTTAATGATTTACTATGATTGGTTACAGGTTTTCACTCATATACGTATATGGTACGTAGATACCAATTTTGGACAAATCGACCCAAGCCATCTTAGCATCGATTTACCCTTCCACAACGTATATATAAAAAAAAAAAAAACTTTTTTCTTTTTAATTGTTATAAGATGAATGTAATAGTTAAATCTAAATACTAATTCTTTAGTACAGTCAGACCTCTTTAAATGTACACCCTCGGAAGCATAGTAAAATGTGCATTTAGAGAAGGTGCGCATTTAGATCTATAATTGTTATACGCATTACTTGGGACCATGCAGAGGCGTGCATTAGAGAGGTTTCTACATAGTATAACGTGTATTTAGAGAGGGTGCATTTAGAGAGATCTTACTGCATTTAGAGAGGTCTGACTGTATTTAAAGATTCTTTATATAAGGTTGAATATTAGTTAAGAAAGTTAAAAAATAATCATAATCCTAAATTCGAAAGATCCTTTACCATTATTATGTACTTTACTATCCAAATAAAAAGCATTATGCAATATATATTTTTTATAATGAGTTGCCATAGAGCTAGTATTTTGACTTAAAAAAAACATAGTAAAAGCTTATTCAACCTTAGGATCAAGATTATTTTACCTTTCTTAACTACAGCAGTACTCAAATTTTATATGAGTTCTGCCAAGGGAAAAGGGCACACTCGGTTTTTTTTAGTAAATTATTAATTATTATCCGAGTCAGTCCTTCTGATCTGACGCAAACTCCTGAAATTATCGTTATATTAGTGACTAATATAACGATAACTTCAGGTTTGCTATGCGTCAGATCAGAAACCGGATGAATAATCAGTAATTTACTAAAAAAAAGAGAGTACCCTTTTCTCTTGGCAGCACTCACATAAAGAATCGTCAAAATAATAACGATAAATAAGTATTGAAAGTTTGTTTATTTTAACCTGTAATTTTTTTTCGACTAGTTATTTAACTGACGTCACTTAGAGTGATAATTTAGCATGTCGATATGGTGTAAAATTTCACATTATGTGATGTCGGTAAAATGATTACCAATGCCGTAAAGTAAGTCAATTGCTTAGCAAATATTTAGTCGATTAGGCTTAGCTAGCCGACTAAAACCATGTGGCTTGAAACACTATTTTAAATCTGGATTCATTAAAAAGCTTTTTAAATGTACGCATACATATATATCGATATTGTCTCACAACGACACGTTTTAATCGAAGATTCCTCAAATAAGATTTGCATTTAACGTTAAGACTTTAAAATTTAATTATGTTCACTACACCTTTATTCGAAATTCGTCAACATGTGACATTACTTCGACTTTTGTGCAACGGAAGACATCTTTCCTGAACTATTTAATCCAATTGCTACGTATGCATCGTCTCTATGCAGTGCTTGATAGTTTTTGACTCCAAAATAATATGTAGAGTAGCACTATGTATACGTACATTTATTTAATTCATAATACGTACCAAAATGATCACTTTCATTATCAAAATACAAAAAAAGGATATAATCAGCATTATATTATCTAAATTACTATTACAGTCTGATTCCACCTTTTAACCTTTAAAAGGGATCATTATTTATCCGACAATATAAAGTTAAGTCAATTACGTATAAGAAATATATTTACCATCATATCTTTTATTGTCCTATTCTTTATCCCGATATATATTTTAAATTGAGGATAGAATTTAAGAGGCCCATGTACAATAATATGTTATACATACTTTATAGAAATCCAATCGGAAAGTATGAAATTACTAAGATGGTCATTTAATTTTCCAAATGATCACATATGTTACTATTTATATCAAATTTAACCATGAATCAAGGATGAGTCAAAAATCATAATACAATATTTTCTAGTTTGTTGTTTTTTTTCAAGATGGCTAATTAAATCAATCTATAAAAACCAAAATAGTTCTCAGGATGATGAGAAAGTAGTGTTGATATATATCAAAACACATAATTCTTTACTTACATCGGCTTTATTTTCTTTCGGTTGTGGAGTTACAAAAAAAAAAAAAAAAAAAATCCGGAAATTCAAAAATTTTATTAGTATACGAAACCAGTTATGCAGGTAGTAACGGTAAAATTATTTTTATTTATAAAGCCGTTTGTAAGATTCATATCACATCATTCAAAGAGGATGTCTCGTCCTTTAAGGTCAGCTATTCGAACACACCTTACTTAATAACTACATAGAAAAAAATTTTTTTTTTATAATTATTATATATTTATTTATTTACTCTTGATAGAATAACCTTATGTCTTACGACAATTACTCTCGTTGTTATTGTATTTTTACCGAAAGTACGAGACCACTATTCAATAATACCAGATAGCGTAAGAAATTGGTGGAATGAAAAATTTTCCAATTTTTTTAAATCAGACACTCCCATTCGACCAAAACGACCAACTTTCACCAGTCGAGAACTCATGAAAGATCCATCATTTCGTAAGAAAACTATGAGAGATCTTCATCGACGAATTTCAGCAGCAGTTACTCAATATCATCAAAAAACACCTTTTGAAATGAAAACAACATGGGAGAGTTATTTTGGTCTTACGGAATTAACCCTTTCACCAGCTTTGGAGATAGATGAATCTCAATTGGAAGAAAATTCAACGGTTAATTCTTTAATTGATAAATATCAAGAAACCGACAACGAAATTGTAAATTCGTTGATAAAATCGGTTAAAATTCAAGAAGAAAGTAGTTCATTAATGAAGCAAATTTTGAAGGATATTAGGGTACTGAGAGCCATATTACGCGAACCTGATGAAAATTCATCAGACATGTAAAATTAATCAATTATTAGATTCACACACATATATATATATATATATATATATATTTATGTATAGGTTTATAAAAATTATCAGATTCATTTTTTAATCATCATCAACAGCAAACTTTACTGTATTTATTGTAATAATCATAATTTTTAAAACAAAGTTAATGATTATATTAAATTTAAATAATTATCATATACATCTCAAATGCATGATAATTTCTTGGAAGTTGTGTAGACTTTGCCAGAAAATTAATTGATTTTGCCTTGTGGATCTAATTTAATGAGATACATAAGAAACTGATATTCTAACAACGAAAAAGAGGTGATATAATTCGTTAAGGCCATGTTGAGAACGATAATTATTTTACAACCTTTTGACAGGGTTTTGATTCGGTTTATAGATGGTTGTAAGTTTTTTCATGACACATCGAAATTTAGACGTAAAATTAAATGATTTCTTTTTTATAAAAGTTTTTGTCGAGTCTTTATCATCATATAAGATATTTACATCCGTGCCAGATTTTTTTTTAACGTGTCGATCTTTACGATATTTACGATATTTTTTAAATATTGAACGTTTATGTTTTGTTTGTTCATATTGCTGTTGTTGTTCTTCTTCCTTCATTGATGGTGTCGATAAAGGGGTCAAAAACGGGTGTTTTCTAACATCCCACATATCGAATTTCTTAGTTGGATCTGGATCCCACATACGTGATAACAAATCACAAGCGTCTATATCGATATCAGGAATAATGATAAATTAAAAACAAGAATGATAAAATGATAATAAATTAAAAAAAAAAAATAATAAACAAAAAATATTATATATACTTGGATCCATGTTCTCAGGAAACAAAAATGTGCCATTTTTTATCTCTTGATGAAACCTTATATAATCACCATCGCAAGGAAATTGGCCTACTATCGTATAGTAAAAAACAACACCCAGAGCCCAAACATCGGGTCTCCAACCCCAGCAAGGTTGTCGTTCAATAATTTCGGGTGAAGTAAATATATCATATACACTAGAATTCAATGTTTGTACAATGTGAACAATATTTGCGGTGGTAAAATGACCTAATGAAGCGAAATCTACAAGTTTCACATTATTATTTTTGATCCAAAGGGTATCACAATTTAAGGACATATGTGCTAAATTATTATCATGCAGATTTGCAAGAGCTAAACAAATCTGACAAAAGATTTCCCTAAGGTTCAAATTATGCCCAGCACGTTGGAGCAATTCAAACATTGGCTGACCAGGATCCTCCCAAATAATAGCCAAGTAGTTTTCATCTTCGATTACATCAATAAGTTGTTGAATATATGGAACATGTTTCATTTTATCCATAAAATAAATTAGTGAACGGGTCTTATTTACTTGTATGGTATTCGTTTGCTCTATTAAGTACATGAACACCTAAAGAAATTTTTTAAAGAATATATATATATTTTTTTTCATTTAGAAAACACCATTTTTTCTAACTTCATAAAAAAGCTCACTTAATACATACGCACCTTATCCTTGTTCATCACGTTGATGGCATTTATTACATATCCCAGATTACAATCTAATTCTAATACATCTAATGGTAAATAAGGAAATTGGTCGTTTTGTATATTGAATAATGGTTCATGTTTTTTAGAATCATCACTGAAAGTTATTTCCTCATTTTCATTTATTTTTGGATATACAGTTTCGGGAGAAATCATTGTCTACGAATTCTTTCTATTCAGGGGTTATAATGCTAGATCAACGCAAGGACGAATTCACCAAAGGTTAAGGTGAAAAATCTTTGGTGCAATTCGGATAAAATTGATATAAGGTGAGGGAGGATGGTAAGGGAGAAACGCAAGCTTGGCTAAAGCTTTGAGAGGAACGAGGAAAGTTGATAATCTGAACATGAAAAAAAGTAGAAATTTATATAAAACTTAAATTGAATAAGTACAAAGAAAAAAAGTTTGGGAAATAATGTTTGGATAATGTTTGGATATTATTATATTTATTTGTAAACAAAGACGCCTCCTCATAGCTAGTAGTTACAAACAATCTAACACATTGTATATAGAGACAGCATGCGTCCTAAAACGGTACAAATGATGTGAAGAACCTTATAATCACACAGTGTAAAAATACGCACGTCCGCAGTGCGTCGCAATATGAATGGTAATGAATGTTGCACTCACTACATTCATTATTTGGTTTACATTTACTATTAACATTCACAAATATTTATTATCGGAACTAATGTTCCTATCTTTTATATAAGCTCGGATACACATGAAAACTTGTTTTTAAAAGTGTTTCATGAAATATTCCGTGGTTTCTGTATCATTTAACATTAATTAGCTTTAATCTTAATTAGGCATCACATATCGATATGTATGTTCGTACATACATACATACGTACCCTTTTTTATATCACAATATAGAAGTAAATATAGATATATATAGATATATATATTGCTACGTAGTGCAATTAAAAACTCCAAGAAATCGGTGAAATTTGGGTATATACTGGTCATATATTTGTCATAAATAAGCACATTTCAGATATCATTGCAAAGAACGATGCTCTCGTTAATGACAAATATGTGAATTACAGTGGTGATCATAAATAATGCAGCAGCAAAGAAAAAAAAAGTTAGATCTTATTGAGTGTCCAGTTATCTCTAGCATCTAAAATAGCCTTATTGATATCACAGCAACCGCATAAGTAAATTAGAACAAAGTTTTTTTTTTTATACAACGAAGCACAGAATTAAAAATTTTCGTCGAATTTAGTTATATGATTATTGTGATATTACATTACCATTATCACTGAAATTTAACATCACTTACCATTGACAAAAGCAATTCTTGGATGTGTGTAGGCAAAATTTTAAAGTTTGTTATGTTAGGTCAGCGTAGGTATTAAGGTTAGGCATTGACAAAGAATATAGTAAATCGCACAAGGAAACTTTTTGTTAGAGCACTAAAAGTGATTCCTTATGCGGATTTTCGAAAAATCAGGATGGACATTTTGGTGTTACGTTACACTAGGGATCCTCGTAAACATAACATTTCACCGACATGTTTATTTTACAGACACTTATTTCACCGACAGTTTGTTCTTTCACCGACAGCTCATTTCACCATTAGCAACCATAGTCAATCATGGTTTAAACCATTTTATTAAAGGATTAATATATTTGTAGCCATAAGCTGTAACTAAAATAACCATTTATTTTGTACATTAGGGTTAGGGTGAGGTAAAGATTTCATGCGAATAGAAGAAGACGGTTTATAATAAAATTTAGCACGGAATTTTTTTTGTTATAGACGACTTTTGATAAAACGAATGTTTGTTTTGAATTTTCATGTTAGTGTTACGTTACACCGGATTTTTAAAATTGATTGGATGTGGCTACAGTACAAATATATTACTTTATTAAAAAACAAAATCATTTTTACGACCAGAGTAAAATCGCCACCCAAAAAAGTTTCGTGATATTGTCAATTTTTTAGTATCGTCATTAAAATTTTACTTTCACGTGACAGTGGTTAAAAATCTTTAAATTCATTTAAGTTAGGGTTAGCGTTTACAATAGGGCTAGGTTTTATGAAGTAATAGTAAAATTACTCGAGAAATTTTTTTGAAAAACATTTTGTTTCGATCTTCATGATCGTGTAACGTTACATTAAAACGAAACTCACTATTGGATGATCATCACGTGAAAGTGAAAATTCGACAGCGATACGGGAAAACCCAGTCAGTGTTGTACATCTTTCATTGTTCAAGGCTTTTTTGACCATATTTAACATTCAAAATTTCCAAATTTTCAAGTTTTCAAAACATGTTCAAGTTCTAATAATTAATAAATTTGTTTAAAAAATATATAATTATATATTTTTTTAGGTTTTAAATATTTTTTATTTAAAAAAGTATATAGATTATTTAACAAAATTGTGAGTAATTTTAATTTATATTTTTCAAAAATATTCAAATTTATGTTTAAAGCTGTCTATTGACAATACTGACTTTAGTAACATTGATAAATTTTTACTAATTAATATTTTTTTTTAAAATTATATTAAGATCAGATTTATAATTATAATAATACTTATCTTAAAACAATTCTAAACAAAAATCTACATATTACCAAAGCAACCAAAATACCTTTTAAAATTCTTCTCAGTACAACAAAAAACTGATTTATCAAATTTATTTATACTCTCTTTCATAAAACAAATTACAACAACTCTTTAATTCACATTATTTTATTTCTTCTTACTTAATTAAAAAATAATTTCAAATTGTTATAAACCTTGCCAGACTTTATTTATTTCTATATAACAAATATCAAATCATTGATTATTAAAAATTCTTTTATGACTTACAACTTAAACATATTTATTTAAAAACCTTTATATATATAAACTATATTTTAAACATTTCAAAAAACAATATTCCTATTTTATAAATTCATAATACCTCTAAATTTTATATTAATATTATTATAAATATCTTCTTTTAAAAATTTAATATAAATTACTGTATTCCACCTTTTTATTTAATCAAATTACAATTTGATATCTAGTTCCAAAATTTTTTTATACATTATAAAAAACAATTTAGTAATATCAATAAACAAAAAGTTTATAATTATAACAAATATTAAATAACAACAACAACTAATAATAAATACAAAAAATTAATTCTTCAAAAACCTGAACTACCAACTATCTGATTCATTCAAGATCAAACAAACTATATTATCAAAACAGCAATATACCATATAAACATCTGCACCAATCTGAAAAAATGTAAAATTCTTAATCTAAAAACAATATATAATATCTACAATCTAATTTCTTATTATTTTAAACAATCTTTTAACACTATACTTATTCTATAATATATATATCTATCTTTAAATTTTTCTATTTTTATTTCAACAACATTTTATACACCTTTATCTTTTAAAAAACTTTATAAACTAGTTGACCAATCTGAACAAACCTTTATCCAACTAAACAATACATCTACTAATCCTAAACATATATCTTATTTCTTTTATTACTATCTTAAAGCTTATTTTAAATTTATAATAACAAACAATAAAATTATTAATCTCAATCTCAAAGAAGTATTAAACAAAATCTTCTTTCAAACAAACGATCCACAAATTCTAGCCAGAATCATTGTCTATTATAACATTACTCAAATCTCTAAACCAGCTATTACTTAACTTAAAAAAAATCTTAATAAGTTATACTTTGATCAAGCAAACCAATATATTATCAAAAAACTCAATATTGTTATACCTACAGTATCAAAAACTGACTTTATCTACACTTTTAATATATTTAAAATTATTGATAAACTTGATGATAATCTTTTCTTCTAGCAATATCTATATATTTCTGTTAACTTTTCTTTATCTATTTACCTATCCAATCTATATTACTTATCTTAACTACACTCTTACAATTTTGTTAACTTGGGGTGTGGCGA